CAGAAACGTTGTAAGGACATCGGTAAAAGAGTCCATGTGACATCAGTGGCTCAACTTTTTTTTGAGTGCAAAGAAAACAAAAATAACAATTTATTCAACAATTCTTCTCCCCCGAGTTACGTCTTCTGCCATTTTATAGTGTCAAAACACATACGCACACTTTCCCCTAAGCATAAACAACGCTGATTACGCAGATTACGTTCATGCGCGCACTTTCTCCCCCGAACGTAAACAATGCTGATTACGTCGATTACGCTCTTGGGTACTCTCCAAAATGGCGGAAGACGTAACTCGGGAGAGAACAATTGTTAAAGGTGACATATCATGAAAATCTGACTTTTCCAGATTTTAAGTGCTATAATCAGGTCCCCGGTGCATCTTCCAACCAAGGAAACGTGAAAAAGATTAACCCAGTAGCTTTGTTTTGGGAAGCCTTTTTCTACAAGTGTCTGAGAAAACAAGCGCGTCTGGTTTTGCTCCCTTGGTGACGTGGCAAAGGGATCTCATTACAATATTACCGCCCCTTAATCTGTAAAATTTCCACCCACGGTGCCGTAATTGTGTTTTCGCAAGCGACAACAGTGTACCAGTTTTAATGCCATGGCGAAAGTTTGAGCAAAACATGCTAACTGTTCTGCCTTTGGCTGCACAGACGAGCACAGAACACTATTTAGAGTCCCAGCCTCAGAGGAGACAAGAGAGCAGTGGATTTATTGATTTATTTAATGTATATTGCTGCTGCCACACAGATCTAAAATAAACATGCAATTTATTTCCCAGCTGTTTACCTTCACAGACATAGCCCTGTGAGAATGAGAACTTAGTTTAGTACTCACATGCTGTGATAGCCGATTTCTGTCCGTGTGCTTCGGATGTGTGCGCTCAGAAAACCTTATATCTGAAGTTTAAACTCCTATGGTTTAAAACGCATGATTTCAGCATGATAAACATGATAATCAGAACAAAAACAGATGTTTTTAGCAGATACGAGCTGTAATGGTGCAGCTCTATTCTGGAAAAGGGGGCGGGGAGCAGCAGCTCATTTGCATTTAAAGAGACAGGCCCGAAAAACAGCGTGTTTCTGCTTCCACTCAAAATAGGCATTTTCAAAATTATATAATAAATGATTTGTGGAGTATTTTGAGCTGAAATTTCACATGCACATTCTGGGGACACCAGATACTTATATTACATATTGTAAAAAGGGGCATAATATGTCTCCTTTAAATAAATAGTTATTTTTGTTTTCTTTGCGCTCTAAAAGTATTCTCATAGCTTCGCCAAACTGAAATTAAGCCACTGATGTCACATGGACTGTTTTACCGATGTCCTTACAACGTTTCTGGACCTGGGAATATTACAGTTGCATTGCTGTCTATGCAGGGTCTGAGAGCTCTCACATTTCATCAAAAATATCTTCATTTGTGTTCTGAAGATGAACGAAGGTCTTACGGGTTAAGAATGACATGAGGGTGAGTAATTAATGACAGTATTTTAATTTTGGGGTGAACTAACCCAATAAACTTAGCTGAAGGCTAGCTGAAAATATAGGAACATTTTCATTTTTCTAGCTCATCACAAGAGCTTTCTTAACTACTTAACCTCATGCCATGCTAGTAGGCTAAGCTGTGAGCTTGCAAACTGAAAAACGCAAAGAAGCGGAAATGTTTAAGTGGTTGTGACTCTTTTTTTTTTTTTTACTAGCTCATCAAAACCTCAGCTAGTAGGCTAAGGTTAACTTGTTAACTGGGGACTAACTGAAAACACAAATAAGGGAAATATTTCATTTGCTGTTACAAATTTTTCTAGCTTTCTTAATTTAGTGCTATGCTAATCTAATTAATGCTAACTGAAGGGTAAATGAAAACACAAAGAAAGGTACATTTTTTGGCCATTAGTAATATAATGTGGTATGTAATTTAAAAGTAGGATTCTGATTTTCAGGTACTACAGCTCATATTGGAAATCATGCACAGTTTATTTATCAACAAGAATACCAACTTCATTTCTCACCTCAGTGTAACACATGATGGGTGCAAACATTTTTTGAAATTGACTGCGTATATCAAAGTGACATCCTTAGAAATGTTCAGCACTGAGGATATATAAGAGTGTGATTGTCAGGGCATTACTGAAGTAAAGAGAGGGGAGGTAAGGACAGCAGACAAAGAGGAAATAGATCTAAAGTCATATCCTCCTGAGAGGCTAGCTGCAGTCTGTAGCTGCTTTTGATTGATGTAGAAATCGAGTAGCATTCTAGGGGAAAAGAGCAATGGGATTTAATGGAAGCTGACCACAATCCAGCCACGAATATGTAACCTGTTGTGGAGAAGTCATGAAGGGAAAGAGACCTTTTACAAGGATCAGGTGCTAAGTCTTATTACAGCTTCTTCTTAATTTTTCAAGTGCAGAAAAGCGCACGTGGAGCTCTTAAATGAAATGGAGATATGAATCTATCTCCGCAGTACAGTAGATTATATGAGATATTTCTCTTCTTATGACTTTCTTTCAAAATCCTCTCTCACCTGAAGTGACTCTGATGTCGTTATTCGGTCACAGTTATCTTTGTTTCAGATCAGACCAGTTAATGAAAAAATATGTAAGATGATATATTAAGATGATTTAAATACTGTTTGTTAATCACCTACAGAGACACATCATCACTGGCTCTATGGCTGCTGCGAAGCCCCTCTCCTCCCTTACAGACAAAAGACCCAGTTACACAGACATCAGTATGCCAGGTAATAAACACCACAACATTTCTACTTAAGTCTTTCAAATGTTCGCTATTTGTAGTTCTATCAGTTTTTTCAATACACTGATGATTTTGTTGCATTTTTTATTTATTGATTTGATTTAATGATTCAGGTCATACCAGCTTTTCCTTTCAGAAAATGCCTGTCAGGTTGTTGTAACATCTAATTTAAAATACATTTTTGATGAAAGGGTTAATCAGAATATTTATTGTGTTTGTTTCTAATATGTTTTATAAAAACTTATAAGCGGTATAGCTATAAGAGTTGTAGCAATAACTTAGACAATTTATTTGGATTTAACTTTGTAAGTCTTGTTGAATAAATTATAATTACAACACATCTAATAATTATATATAATTAATCAATTATGCCTAGGACCAACCTTCCAATATTTCATATCTGTCATGCTATTATTAAAAACTTGATCAGTCAAGGAAGTTGTAAAATTGGGATTTCCAGTCCATGAAAAGTGATGGAAATTTATCAAATCTTAATGTCATTTCAAAGTTTGTGGGATATCATGTAAAAATAATCAATTCTATTTATTTATAATAAATTCGTTTTCTATTTATACTCTGCTCTTAAATATTTCATCCATTCAAAATTATTCTTTGTGAGTGCAATGTCTATAAAATTATACAAACCCGATTCCAAAAAAGTTGGGACACTATACAAATTGTGAATAAAAACAGAATGCAATGATGTGGAAGTTTCAAATTTCAATATTTTATTCAGAATACAACATAGATGACATATCAAATGTTTAAACTGAGAACATTTATCATTTTAAGGGAAAAATAAGTTGATTTTAAATTTCATGGCATCAACACATCTCAAAAAAGTTGGGACAAGGCCGTGTTTACCACTGTGTGGCATCCCCTCTTCTTTTTATAACAGTCTGTAAACGTCTGGGGACTGAGGAGACAAGTTGCTCAAGTGTAGGAATAGGAATGTTGTCCCATTCTTGTCTAATACAGGCTTCTAGTTGCTCAACTGTCTTAGGTCTTCTTTGTCACATCTTCCTCTTTATGATGCGCCAAATGTTTTCTATGGGTGAAAGATCTGGACTGCAGGCTGGCCATTTCAGTACCCGGATCCTTCTACGCAGCCATGATGTTGTAATTGATGCAGTATGTGGTCTAGCATTGTCATGTTGGAAAATGCAAGGTCTTCCCTGAAAGAGACGACGTCTGGATGGGAGCATATGTTGTTCTAAAACTTGGATATACCTTTCAGCATTGATGGTGCCCTTCCAGATGTGTAAGCTGCCCATGCCACACGCACTCATGCAACCCCATACCATCAGAGATGCAGGCTTCTGAACTGAGCGATGATAACAACTTGGGTTGTCCTTGTCCTCTTTAGTCCAGATGACATGGCGTCCCAGTTTTCCAAAAAGAACTTCAAATTTTGATTCGTCTGACCACAGAACAGTTTTCCACTTTGCCACAGTCCATTTTAAATGAGCCTTGGCCCAGAGAAAACGCCTGCGCTTCTGGATCATGTTTAGATATGGCTTCTTTTTTGACCTATAGAGTTTTAGCCGGCAACGGCGAATGGCACGGTGGATTGTGTTCACCGACAATGTTTTCTGGAAGTATTCCTGAGCCCATGTTGTGATTTCCATTACAGTAGCATTCCTGTATGTGATGCAGTGCCGTCTAAGGGCCCGAAGATCACGGGCATCCAGTATGGTTTTCCGGCCTTGACCCTTACGCACAGAGATTGTTCCAGATTCTCTGAATCTTTGGATGATATTATGCACTGTAGATGATGATAACTTCAAACTCTTCGCAATTTTTCTCTGAGAAACTCCTTTCTGATATTGCTCCACTATTTTTCGCCGCAGCATTGGGGGAATTGGTGATCCTCTGCCCATCTTGACTTCTGAGAGACACTGCCACTCTGAGAGGCTCTTTTTATACCCAATCATGTTGCCAATTGACCTAATAAGTTGCAAATTGGTCCTCCAGCTGTTCCTTATATGTACATTTAACTTTTCCGGCCTCTTATTGCTACCTGTCCCAACTTTTTTGGAATGTGTAGCGCTCATGAAATCCAAAATGAGCCAATAATTGGCATGACATTTCAAAATGTCTCACTTTCAACATTTGATATGTTATCTATATTCTATTGTGAATAAAATATAAGTTTATGAGATTTGTAAATTATTCCATTCCTTTTTTACTAACAATTTGTACAGTGTCCCAACTTTTATGGAATTGGGTTTGTAAAATAACTGAACATAAACATAGGAGCTTGATAAAATAACCATTTTAGAAGAA